AATTGTAAAAAATAATGATATTTTATGTACATGTAAAGCTTACATTAACCCCATACTTTCAAATTGCAAAAACGCGCATTTATCTGGTGGACTAGTGACAATGGTGTACAGCACATACAAACAACTGAGGACTTTCATTCCTTTTGTAAGTTTTTGAGTAAGTATTCACGACTAATTTTACTGTAGCACTTGGGTACAAATCTACAAGTATTGTCCAGCTCATGAGAGAAGAGGGACTGGATGTCAAAGTCTCAGGTGTGAGCAAACTGATTAAGAAATACATGGAAACTGGTTCAATCACTCGAAGGCCAGGTTTGTCAGTATTAATTCCACTACTCTCCTCTTTATTTTGACAATATAGGATCTGGAAGACCTTCAAAAGTAACCAGAGAAGTTTTAAAGATAATAGAGGACCACACGTGATCAAGATGGCTACCTGTTTTTAGGCTCTGTTTAAGCCTTCTCTTCCTTTGTCTTTGTGCCGGTTTAGTTAATTTCTAGCCGGCCACATAATCAGGTATTTATCCCTGCTATTCATTTGTGTTCTCCGTCCCCTCTCCTGTAGCCAAATCGTTACTTCTTGGAATCACGTGTCCTCACTGCCAGTCAGCTCTGCAGTATGCCACCCAAGCTGAAGTCAAAGTCGGGTACTACAGCTACTGGTAATAAACAAACCAGTACATCAAAAGGGAAAGATAGTGGTTCTTCTGGTGTCTCAGGTGCCCAATCTGGGTCTCATAGTACTGTGAACTGTGTATGTGGTTCACCTATTGACTCAGGGCATATGGTCGAGTGTGAGTCATGTTCGTGTTGGTCACATGTGCAGTGTATTGGTCTTTCGCCCTCATGTGCCTCAACCTATCCGTATATATGTCCATTCTGTGTAAGACTTCTTGTGACTAATCTTAGTGAATTGCGTTCTGAGGTTGCATTTCTTCGAAACAAGATTGAATCAATTGAATCATCTTTTTCTACCACATCTACATCATCTATCTCCTCCGAGATTGAAAGTATTAATGACCAACTGAGGCTCCTATCATCTAGAGTTGACTCTTCTCCAGACACCAGCCAGACTCAGACAAATACTTCTGAAACACCATCCAGACCAGTATCGAATCACACTGTCAATCACGATGGTAGTCGTAGGGGAAATCTAGTCATTACAGGTTTACCGGAATGTCCACAAGGTACAACAAGAGTTGATCGGTTTCTTAAAGATCAAGAAACTGTTGCCTCCATCCTGTCTACTGTTTCTCCGTCAGTTAATTCCCAGTCTGTCAAAGATCTTTTCCGTTTAGGAAGGTACCGTCCTGATCAATCTAGACCAATCCTCGTGAAATTTTTTCGTTCCTGGGATGCTACTGTTGTTCTCCGCAATAAGTCAAAATTGGCCGATTCTCCCAATATTTCTATCAGACCAGATCTCTCTCCTTCTCAAAAGACTGCTCGTTCCCTGTTGCTTAGGGAGCGTAGAACCTTAATGACGTCTGGTAACAATGCTGGTGACATCAAGATTCGTGGTAATAAGATTTTTCTACGAGACTCTCTCTATGGGGAGGTAAACAATAACTCATTTGTACGGGCTCTTGCTCCTGGTGACTCTGACACGTCTAACACGACTGATTCTGCTACGGTATCATCTACTTTACCTCCTTCTCGTGTATCACCTCCTGTTACTCCTTCCCCACCTACTGTCACCCCTCCGTCTTTCCAGTAGCTTCGCCCACGCCCATCCTCATGGGCCTCTGGAATGCCCGTAGCCTTAATCGTAAGTTGTCCTTTTTGCAATCGTTGGTCTACTCAAAATCCTATGGTATTTTTTGTATTACTGAGTCATGGTTGTCTAAATTTGTTTATGATAATGAAATCCTGCCATATGGGTATACTATTTACAGATGTGACAGAGGATCCCGTGGGGGGGGGCGTGGTTGTTGCTGTGGCTGATACAATTCCTTCCCAACTTATTCCTAATCAAGTCGATGTGGAGATGGTTTCTGTTGAACTGATTGATTTGAACTTGGTTGTTTCTTGTATATACATTGCACCTAACAGTTGTGATACCTATCGCAACCTTGTGTTATCATCAATTTCCTCTGTTGTCTCAGGTGGTCACCGTGTCATAATTACAGGTGACTTCAACTCCCCTGATATTAATTGGTTATCATTATCTGCTACTACTCCCTTTTCTAACTCACTTTGTGACCTTGTTTTTTCTCTTAATCTAAAACAGTTAGTTTTGTGTCCAACTCATGTTCATAGTAATACGCTGGACTTAGTTTTTACCGATTCCCCAGAGTTTCTTAGTGATGTTTCAGTTGATTCTCTCTCTTGCTCTTCATACTCTGATCACTTTCTCCTATCTATTTTTATTAGAGGGTGTAGCCAGTCGCATGTTCGGTCACCTAAACCCAATGGTAGAGTTCTTCTCTACTCTAAAGCTGATGTGGATGGTCTATACTCATTCTTAGAGTGCACTGATTTCATGTCCCAGTTTAAATATGGAGACATTAACTCTATGTGGTCTACACTGCAGGGGGCTATTGTGGAGGCGTGTAATCTCTTCATTCCTTCTCGTAGTATTGTCAAAAGATCTTATCCTGTGTGGTTCACCCCAAATATAATTCATCAGTTAAAGTGTGCTAGAACTCTCAGGAGGAGGCTGAGACGAGGCTCTAATACATCCACTATTACTCAGCGCTTGCTGGCTATTGAACATTCACTAGCTATTCTTATACCAGAAGCAAAACAGATCTATGAGTCCACTTTAGTAATTGATTTTCGAGTGAATCCCAGGGTTGTGTATAATTATGTGAGGCATCTTTCTGCCTCTTCTAATATTCCTGTAGTCATACATCATAAAAATTGCTCTACTTCAGACATCTCAGTTAAGGTCAATTTATTCAATTCTTTTATTAACTCTGTTTTTACTCAGAGTCATTTTACACTCCCCTCTCTTGACCATATGCCTACCCCTTCTGCTCAATTGTCATCTATTGAAGTTACTACCTCTGATGTATTTGAGGCTTTGTCTAAACTAGACTGTTCTAAGGCTGTTGGGCTTGACTGTATTAGTGGCAAATTTTTGAAGATGTGTGCTGGGTCCCTTTCTGCTCCAGTTACTGTTGTTTTTAGAGAGTGCTTACAGTACGGCTGCCTTCCTGATGAGTGGAAGATCCATAAGATTGTTCCAATCTTTAAGTCCGGTGATCCTAGTGATGTTGAGAACTATAGGCCAATATCTCTTCTGAGCATTCTATCCAAGGTCCTGGAATCAATTGTATACAAAAAAGTAATCATGTTTGTTCGATCCTCTCTCAGTCATAGTCAATTTGGCTTTTTGGCTAACCGTTCCTCAGTATCCCAGTTGCTGCTCTCTTTTGACAAGATAATGAGTCATTGTGATCGTGGTTTGCCTACTGACATGGTCTATTTTGACTTTAAGAAGGCATTCGATTCGGTCTCGCACTCGATTCTTCTCTACA